ATTTTACATTCATGTACATTGTTATTTTTTCCAGATTTTAATTTTTTTGGTAGACTATAAATTAGCCGGTTGATTAATGAAAAGAAAATGACATACTATATTTTATTTTATAGCATCAACGCGAGGTTAATGTTTGGCTAATTTGACTACCAGAACAATTAAAATGAACATGTGTGGAACATTCTAATATAATGTAGTATTTTGCATGATATTTCTATTTTAGTATTAATGAATAATGATATTCAATTGAAATTTCCTCTTTGAAAAGCAAAATGTTTAATGTTTTTGGGACGTCCGATGACAACATTTGATTTGAAAAAATGTTTGATGGTCACTAACACGCCGAATAAATTCATAATTTCACCCAACCTTTCAAACATTTTGTCCAATTGATTCTTTGGTGTTTGATAGTCATTAACCCACCAACAATATTCACAATTTCAACCAAACTTTCAAACCACTAATCACAATATCCATAATCCAATAATTGTTGTTTGATATCATTAATTCAGTTTAAATCTTAATGCATTTGAAAAGTAACAACATAGAAACATACAAAGATATACATAAAATGCGAGTAATTAGAGTCGGAAAAATTTCAGCATTGCTTGTGTGAATGCAATAAATATTAGATTCTAGGGGCTCGAAGGCATTGTTTCTTGATTCATGTTTGGCATTCCTTGTGTGACTTGAAAGACTTTTAACAACTGAAAAAAAAAAGCAAAGAAAGGAGAGATTTTGAGTCTTTTCTTATTTGATTTCTCAAGCTTGTATTAAATAACAAATAATCCTTGGCCAAAAAACAAATGAGGTGTTGCCAAGAGAAAATGTGATTTATTTTTTACCAATCGTATTCTAGTCTAATCTCATTAATCACATATATAAAATAACTAAGATAAATATTAATACTTGTTATGAAAATTTTAAAATACTCCTTGTGGTAAAATCCTGAAATTTCCAGGTATCATATTTGACAAATTCATGTTCTTTAGCAGAGCAACTCGATGTGTTGGATGCCCAACTCGGTGAGTGGAGTCGTTTTGGCCGTATAGGTTTAGTGACCAACTCGGCGAGTTGGAGCAGTTTGGAGAAACAATAATTTTCTGGGTGTGTGTCCTGTTTAAAGGGCCTTAAGCCCTCATTTGTGTATCCCTTATCTCCAGAGAGCCCTGTGAGAAACCCTAGATTGGTTCCATCCATTCTGAGAGAGAGAAAGAGACTATTTTGGGTGTTCTTGTGCAACTTTGGAAGAAGATTTGGAGAGCATCTTGGCTTGGTCCAGGGAGGGACATTTGGATCCAAAGATTCTCCACTGGTTAGCTTCTTTTAGAGGTAAAAGAAGCTAACTTGATCATTCTTTGCGTAGATCAGAAAAGCAAACCGAATGATTCCCAGCATGAATTCGCTCTAGAATCCCACAAATTTTCATTCCATTTCAGCTTAATGGCCCTCTGGTTGCCTTTTAGATCTCAAAATGGAATCTATGAGATTTATATTCATAGAAATCGAACTAGGTTTAAAGACATATAATTAGGGTTAATTTTTGGCTTAGTTAATAGGTTTTAGCGTCGCCACAACGTGGTAAAAGTATTGCCACATCATGGAAACTGGAATCCTTAATGTACATGGCAACGTAGACCTAAACGGGCTTTTTTTGCAATTTTTTGATCCACCACGTCATGGTAATTCCTTAGCCCATACGTGGGAATTAGAATTTGTATTCTGGCATGAACATGAAAATCAATTGAAATTTTTTCTTGCTTTCAAAGCATCTTGAAATTCCTTAATAGGAGTTACGAGTTATTAAATATAGCCACAACACTAAAGAGAGGTCTATCAGCCCAATAAAAGTTTAGAAAGTATTGGTTGTCCAGTTTTGCCAACTTTTCTTCCCTTTCAGCTCCATTCTCCTCATTTTGCATCCCAATTCTGATTTTAACTATCAATTAACATTTCAAAGCGTATTAAGTATCATATATCTTAAAATATAACATTTTTATTCAAATATATTAAGATAATGACCTATAATATATATACTAAAATATTACGATTTCATTAGTCGACAATCATTCCTCTATCAGAATTCTCCCTAGTTTGATACGCCATAAGAGAATGTTCAACTTAATAGGAACCCAAGTAACCCGCCTATTCTCCTCCTTATCCCCAACATATGACAATCCATATGAAGAACTTCTATAGGATACCAAAAACTTATCTGACACATTAAATAATGTAGGGACATAACTTCAAGTTAAATATGGTTAGTTTGTTACAATAGTACATATCACAATATTTCCCAGGACTTGTTATATCAAATTGTTTTCACGATATTTCGAGTCGATTTATATGTATTATCCATTTACACTACTAGAAAAACAGCCTTTTACGATGCTCATTGCGCGTCGTAAAAGGCTCAGACGACGCGCAAATGCGCGTCAAGGAAGGCCTTGTCATAAAGAGAGACGACATGCGTTTGCGCGTCGTCTATAGATGACACACATTTACAACGCTGATTTACGACGTGCAATTATGACGTGCGTTTACGACACGCAATGCGTATCAAGGAAGGCCCTGTCATAAAGGAAAATGACACGCAATCGTGTGTCGTAACCTTACGACACGCGTGTTAATGACACGAAATGCGTATCAAGAAGCCCCTATCAAGAAAGGCCATGTCATAAATGAAGATGACACACATTTTTGCGTATCATAATTTTAAATGTTTAAAATAAATATTCGTTATAGATTTACTTATTTTCAAATTAAATTTGTATTTTATGTTTCATAAGAGAAAATAAAATATCATATACAAAAAATAGAATCCATTGCATAAATTTAATGTCATACAATTCTATTTCTTACAATATATAAATTTGCATCTAATATACTATGTACATCATATTCCAACTAGGTAAGGGGTAATTTGGGAAAATGCTGATAATGCCAAATTCAACTCCAACTCTTTACTGCATCTTGCTGATAATGCTGCAAGATTTAAATCAAGTGGCTTCATATTTCTTTCTTCCATTAACTTTACCTGATGCACAAAATACACAGAAACATGAAAAAAAACATTGTAGAGGAAGGGATAATTTGGGAAAATGTGAGGGGTATAATATCATTATCAGCCAAGCAAGCAACCTTTTCCTGAAACATGGTAGCATGAATTTATAATGCCAATTATGCCCTTCTATTGTAGCAAAAAATAATCCCAAATGTGAAATTTTACCTGTTTTAAAAGTTTTACTTATGTAGATTTCACCCCAAAATAAGAACTAGACTCTACAAGTTGTAATGCTTTTGAATATGCGTCAATTGAAGTTATTATCACAAAAGGTACTTCTCTTCTGCATTCACCTACAATAGGACAATTTACCAGCTTTTTAATATATTGATTTTAACTTTCTATTGTACGTATAAGAATAAAGATAATATGTTCATGGGGAAAAAGCACCTTGAGTTTGTCTATGTAGTGGTGTAAGAAACAAGTTCCTATTGTTGTCTCCATGGGAAGTGCTACCTACGAAATGGATCAAAGTTTTATAAAGTGGTGTTAAACTAACAAAACAGTTATCAAAGGATTAAAAGACAAAAATAACCTTGATTCTATTGTATCCAAGATGTTTCCCAAGCCCTCCTGCAACAAGAACAAATGCAATATTTTTGTATTTGCTTGACACCAGTCTCCTCATAAAGATTTCTCTGGGAGTCATGTAAAGTGACTTACAGATGCTTTGAAACCATCAAATGGATTGTTTCCTGCCTTTGAACATAACTGTATGACATTTTTGGTATATTCAGACACACATAGCAAATCGTCTCAAGACATTTCGTGTGGTTGTAACTTTTGTGGATTGAAAATACATAATTGTTTATTATTATAGACATTGTTAGAAATAAAATCTAAAAGAAGGGGTGATGAAGGGTAGGGAAATGTGTGGCTGAATGGATTAAGTCAGACAATATTAATGTATCAAGTCAAAAAAAAAACAGCCCAGCCCCTATATATATATATATATATATATATATATATATATATATATATATATATATATATATATATATATATATATATATATATATATATATATATATATATATATATATATATATATTGTTTGGCTAAAATGAAGTTAATACCTAACAGGAACGTGGGTGTTTGTTTATGATCTTATGCATAAAGAATGACTAAAGAGAGAAAGTCAGGCTGGCATCATAAATTTACTACTGTTGTGTATTTAAATAAAAGGATAAATAGAGAATCAATCACATACAGCCAAAGCATCGTAGTGGAGTCCATCATATATCAACTTAACTCTTTCAGGATACTTCCTTTCCTGTCAAAAGAGAGGAAGCTAACCTTTTGAAATGATAATGATGTAGTCTCTCTTTTGAAATCATAATGTCAAATATTTTCTAGATATTGCACTAAAGATAGTGCAAGAGCATCCAAACCTTCGTAGTAGTGGAAGTGTGCTTGGAGTTTTAGCTAAAAAGGCTGATGTATTTGCTGAAACAGAATCTAATATCTTTAAGAAAACCTTCAATTGGGGTAAGCAAAGCATCTCTACTCCTTGATCCATCATCCATCATTTTTCACTTGTTAATATTTTATATATTGTGACAGTGATTAATCCAAAGAAGCAAGTTCTTCAAAGGGAAAGTAAAGCTAAAGCACTGGAATTACTTAACACTCATTTGGGAAAATATTGCTGAGAAGCCAAGGAACGAAATTGATGCCATAATCAGAGGCCCTCCTGATCCTCCTGTTAAGCCAGATGACAAGTCACCTTCTGACAACGAAGAATAAACTTTTGAACTACTAAAACGAATTTCTGATGGAATTGACAAAATGCCATTTGAAATCCGAAACTTAATTAAAGATTCTCCTCCTGTAATTCGTCCAAATGTACCAATTCGAGGAAATCCAACTAAAAAGTATTCTGCCTGAATAATATTTGTTGCTGCAGAAATGGGGAATACTAGATTTATTGTCGAACTTATACGCAAGTATCCTGATTTTTATTCCAACTCTCCATTTGAGCCTCACAAGGAGCCACATCATCTTCCAGCTGTGAAAGTGTTCTACCAAAACAAACATAAATTAGAATTAATATCAAAACATATATTTCCAATTTCCAATCTTTGTTTTCTTTATCTATGTGGACATGGTAAGAAACTGATTATTGAAATAAATGTAAATATATTATACCAAACTACCTTTTCAAATAAGTCAACCTTGCTATGGCTTTCCGAGTGTAATCAAGAAGAATCTTTGACTCCTTTTGCACTCTAGCCCTCTTATCTTCTACTCCAATCTTCCTTAGTGATACATCTCCCATACACTCATCCCTAATATAAAATAGTTAAAACGGCATAAATGGAATTAACATATATTAAATAATGAATATATCAAATCTGTTTTTGTTGGAATAAACATTCAAATAACACTTACTTGAAGCATGTAACTTGTGGTGGGATCATCGGTTTCCACTTGAGTTCCTTGCAATAAAATAAGAACTTCCATCACCTGTTCAATTTTTATAAATATTAAACTTCAAATATAAATAATGATGGAAGAAGAAAAGTGAATAACCAAGCATAGAGTGCCCACATCTATTTTGTGAAAATGCTGGAATTATTTTATTTATCTTGTGAAGCTAGTTTAGAAATAAAATGGCATACTTGTCAAAACCAAATCTTGCACCAAAATAATACGCAACAAAAAGTAGCCATGTGTCACTATGGACAACAACCATAGACAACCAATCATTTTCTGGAATTCCATCACATGCAAAATTGATACCTAATGCAGGTTCAGGGTGCTCTGGAGGGACCTCTTCTGCTGGTAGGTTAACCTTCCATTGTCTCACTTTGAATAAAATAAGGGTATTGATTTTTCCATGCCTATTTTTGATCAATCCACATAATTTTAAAGTTAATTGACAAATATACCCTGGATTAAAAAAGTAAGATATATTGAAGAGGGAGAAACCAATTATTTGTTTCCAAATGTTGAACACTTTCCTTATTCCTATTTCTCTCACATTCGACACAACCATAATGAATTTGAATCTGCAACTTGTAATGGGTAATCACAGTTGGGAAAAAACCAATATGAAAAACCAACATGCACACACAAGGACCACAAACACCACACCCCATATTAAATCCATGGCATGCCAAGAAAGACATCTGTATATAGGGAGACACCAAGGTTATGATTCATATGTGTAATGATTTATGGATTGAAGCATAAAACTCCAACATGCATATGATCTGGTTATGATTCATATGTGTCTAAATATATTAATTCACTGATTATGGTGGTTTAAAGAATGATCAAGGAAGAAAAAAAACAGTTTCAAATTGAGGGGTATAACAGTCAAAACAATGAATCTTAGTGGATTAAAGAACGAACATGGTAAAAGAAAAGGATATTAATTGGCAATATTGTGAATTTTAGCTAGCTTCAAAGGTAAGAAACATGACTGTGATAAAAAAGAAAAAATATGATCTAATTTGAAAATCTAATGAAGTAAACATGTAAACGGCATAATTGTCCATTATGTATAAAATTATGTGGATTTATAAATAAACTGTCATGGATGAATCAACATCCATAAAATAAGAGTTCACACATCAGTATACGTTTAGCTTTATAAATCTAATATTAATTTGAGATTTCTAAAAACTACACAAACACGATTCTTAAACCATATTCAAGTTAAATCATATTTCATCAATTTTATAGCCTTCGTGAAAGTAAAATTTCACAAAGTAAATACAAATCATATATTTCGGAATGCTTTGGATCACAAACCAGAATGAAAAAAAATATATTAACAAAGTTAGATAGGTTTTCTAACCTTGAAACTCTCAGTACAAAACAAAGAATGAAATTTTTCTACAAATAATAAAATCAAACCTGGTCTGATGGAGGTATAGAGGTATTGATGAGGTCGTAACCTTTATCCCTTACTGCCACCATGGATCACAAAACAGTGAAAGATGAGTGTATCAGATGGAGTGTCAGCGTGGGTAAATGTTGATTCAAGCCCTAGAATTTACACCTAAGGGGTGGGGGACAGGGACGGGGAAACGATTTTCAATGTAACATAGATGAGGTTGCTTCGAGCCCTAGAAATCACAAGACATTGAGAACATTGAAGAAGCTAAGGGGGTGTTTGAGAGTGATGTGTGTTCTTGTTCTGGATCGTGCTTGAAGATGGTTACAATCAACATTGATTTTGGGTAGATGGTAGGTGAAGTGAGGATGTCGATCGACGTTTCAGAGTAAAATCAGAGATTGGAGAGCCCAAGAGGAGAGAGTGAGAGCCCAAGAGTAAAATCACAAAAGTGTGGAGTGTGAATGAGTTTTTAGGGTTCAATGGTAGTGAGGATGGCTTAGGGTTTGGAGAGAGAAAGGGGGGAGAGAAATAAGGGAGGGGGAGAGATGGTGGTGTGGGGGTCGTCGGGAGGAGGAGAGGGGTGGTTGCTTTGCAGAGAGATATGAAGTCGAGACGAAAAGACAAGATTGACACATCTGGTAACAAACGGACTCGGGAAGATGAACAAAATGACCCGAGATTGACCCATCTGGTAACAACGCTATTGATGCCATTCCTTCCATTTTCGACTGTTCATCCTTCACTTCCTCTCCTGCTACTTCTTCACCATCTTCTACTTTTTTTGTATGCTACATCAAAACGGAGGTAAAACTATACAAGGTTTTTTTTTTATTTAGCATCAAATTTGACCTAATCGAGCATTACCCAGAGTAAAAGAAGTCATACTTAGGAGAGTGAGATAGAAAAAATTAGGGTCGAATTTAGGAACCCTAAATCATCGGCTCAAATTGATAACTGGGAGGTAAGAACCCTAAATCCTCAGCTCATTAGGGTCGAATTAAGAGTGTAATAACTTGTGGGAAATGAGAATTAGGTTTTTGGTGGAGGTGATGGATCGAGGAATTGAGGAAGCTGTGGATGAAGACGAAGGCCCTAATTCGAAGAGGCGGGGAATTTTTGGGATGAATAGGCGGGGGTTAATTTTTTGGATTTCATTTTTCCCCCTAAAAACACGTCTTTCCTAAAAAATATAAAGGGACACAGTTACACGACACCCATTTATGATAGGTGCCCTCCGTGTTTCTTTTTCTAACACTAATTTTAGAGCACGCAAAAATGCGTGTCCTCTAACCTTCAAATTTTGGAAAACTGACATTAATTTTTAGTGCACGTACAGATGAACGTCCTCTATCAGTGTGTGTCATTAATTGCATATCGTAAAATGCTATTTTTCTAGTAGTGTTAGTTATGCCATTTCTGTCAAACAAACATAATTCTACATGTAATATGTGATATTTTCTACCTGTTAGTTATCAACCATCAATCACAAAATATGTTCAAAAAACTAAATAATTGTTGAAACACCATCGTAATGGGAAAAATTAACATAACAAGTTTGATTTAAATGGTATTTAGATGGTCATTTCTTTTAAAGTTTGTCCCAAATTTTTATGTTGGTTAATAACATGCCAAATAAGTAATTTTTTTTATAAAAATCATTCAAAACGCTCCAACTTGATCTATCAAAACCTTTTAGTCTTCTTTTTTCTGAATGTTCAATAATATAAATCAATGCTTCAAATAACCATCAAAATAGGTCCATAGCTCAGTGGTAGAGCATTTGACTGCAGATCAAGAGGTCACCGGTTTGAACCCGATTGAGCCATTTGTTTTAATTTTTTTATAACCCTCAAACATCTCAAATCAACCTTCATTTGCTTCTTACAGAAATTAAAAACATTACGTAAACCATTTCAGATCATATATTATCTCGATAATATAGAAACATAAGCATATTCCTCTAATTTATTGATTCAGAAAATAATATTGATTACAAACATTAAATTACAACCTCTTATATCACTCATTATTATAATTGAAAATAAGCTCTTGAATATTTTTAGTTATTATATTCATCAGTTTGACACCAAGAAAAAGTTGACTACGAATTAAACTTAACCTGGTTTTCATTAACCCAACACCACAGAGACTTCTTAATCAGTTAATCCCTATTTCATTCATCTTCATTCTCCCAGATAACACAACATACCTTGTGTTATACCCGTATGGTGATTGGGTTGACGAATTTAAAAAAAAAAAAAATTTGTTTATATTGTTACCAAATGAATGTAGTTTATAATGTAAAAATTAAAATTATTTAGATAATTAACAAAATGTCTTTCTTACTCAACAAAACATACATTGTCATAAGGATCATCCAATGTGTTTTTCCTTGTGTATGGTTGAAGTAAGAAATAAAACTCGTAACAGGCAAATCATTACTAATAATCAACCCCATGAATTGTACGTTTGTTTATGAAGTTATTTATGTTTTGTACACAATGTATTTGGAAAAATGTACATTCGTTGAAGTATTTAGAAAAAGTATTTTCAAACGGCTCCAACTTGATCTATCACCACCTTTCAGTCTTCTTTTTCTAGAATGTTGAATAATATAAATCAATGCTTCAAATAACCATCAAAATGGGTCCATAACTCAGTGGTAGAGCATTTGATGGCAGATCAATAGGTCACCGGTTTGAACCCGGTTGGGCCCTTTGTTTGATTTTTTTTAACCCCTTTCATATCTCAAATCAACCGTCATTTGCTGCTTACGGAAACTTAAAACGTTATATAAACCATTTTAGAACTTATATTATTTCGTTAATATAGAAACAGAAACATATTCCTCTAATTTATTGATTTTGAAAATATTATTTATTACAAACATTAAACTACGGCATCTTATATCACAAATTATTATAATTGAAAATAAAGTCTTGAATAATTGTCCTTATTATATGCGTCGGTTTGATACCAATAAAAAGTTGACTACTAATTAAACTTAACCTGGTTTTTATTAACCCAACACCGCAGAGACTTCTTAATTTTCCCTGATAACACAACATAACTAGTGTTATACCCCTATGTTGGTTGGGTTGACGAATTTAAAAAAAAAAAGGGTTTTATTTTTACCAAATGAATGTAGTTTCTAATGTAAAAATTTAAATTATTTAGATAAGAAACAAAATGTCTTTCTTACTCAACAAAACATACATTCTCATAAGGATCATCAAATGTGTTTTTGCTTGTGTATGGTTGAAGTAAGAAATAAAACTCATAACAGACAAATCATTACCAATAATCAACCCCTGTACGTTTGTTTACGAAGTTATTTATGTTTTGTACACAATATATTTCGAACAATGTACATTCGTTGAAGTATTTATTATAATATTTTACATTCAAGTACATTGTTATTTTTTCTAGATTTTAATTTTTTTTTGTAGACTATAAAGTAGCCCGGTTGATTAATGAAAAAACAAATGACATATTATATTTTATTTTACAGCATCAACGTGAGGTTACTGTTTGGCTAATTTGACTACCAGAACAATTAAAACGAACATGTGCGGAACATTCTAATATAATGTAGTTTTTTGGATGATATTTCTGTTTTACTATTAATGAATAATGATATTCAATTGGAATTTCCTCTTTGAAAAGCAAAATGTTTAATGTTTTTGGGACGTCCGATGACAACATTTGACTTGAAAACATGTTTGATGGTCACTAACACGCTGAATAAATTCATAATTTCACCCAACCTTTCAAACATTTTGTCCAATTGATTATTTGATGTTTGATAGGCATTAACCCACCAACAATATTCACAATTTCAACTGAACTTTCAAACCACTAATCACAATATCCATAATCCAATAATTGTTGTTTGATATCGTTAATGCACTTGAAATCTTAATGCATTTGAAAAGTAAGAACATAGAAGCATACAAAGATATACTTGAAATCCGAGTAATTAGAGTTGGAAAAATTTCAGCATTGCTTGTGAGAATGCAATAAATAATAGATTCTAGGGACTCGAAGGCATTGTTTCTTGATTCATGTTTGGTATTCCTTGTGTGACTTGAAAGAGTTTTAACAACTGAAAAAAAAAAAAAAGCAAAGAAAGGGGAGATTTTGAGTCATTTCTTATTTGATTTCTCAAGCTTGTATTTAATAACAAATAACCATTGGCCAACAGACAAATGAGGTGCTGCCATGAGAAAAAGTGATTTATTTTTTACCAATCCTATGCTATTATAATCTCATTAATTACATATATAAAATAACTAAGATAAATATTAATACTTGTTAGGAAAATTTTAAAATACTCTTCTGAACAACAAGAAAATAAACAAAAGTGGGATACACATAAAATAGCAATATACTTCCACTAGGTTTGAACATGTGGAAGCCGCAGCTAACAAAAGCACTATCCAAGAGCACAAGGTTGCTTAATTTTCATATCTCCTAGCACTTGCAACTATTATTTAAAACCCTCTTTTTCTTTATTAGGGCCTAATTCTTGTCACTATATAAAAATGTATTGGAAAGAAACTATTTTGGGTGTTATTGTGTAACTTTGGAGGAAGATTTGGAGAGCATCTTGGCTTGGTCCAGGGAGGGACATTTGGATCCAAAGATTCTCCACTGGTTAGCTTCTTTTAGAGGTAAAAGATGCTAACTTGATCATTCTTTGCGTAGATCAGAAAAGCAAACTGAATGATTCCCAACATGAATTCGCTCTAGGATCCTTCAAATTTTCATTCTATTTCAGCTTAATGGCCCTCTGGTTGCCTTTTAGATCTCAAAATGGCATCTCTGAGATTTATATTCATAGAAACCGAACTAGGTTTGGCACACCCCCAAACCAAGGATAGCGGAAACGTCCGGGGGTGGAGGACTTCATGTAGGGTATCACAACAATGAGTATAATAGTGCTCAAAGTAAATACAACCATCACAAATATAATTGAAAACGTTACATCCAAGCACATGTTTACATGATTCACATCAATTACATTATGATACAAAATGAACTGTTTGACAATTTATCGTCCCATCCTCAAAACGTTGTT